ACTATCAAGGGATATGGCACTCTCTTCAAAGACAACATCTCCATCAGCAAAGTGGCTTATGTCGAAGGATTGAAGCACAACCTACTAAGCATAAGCCAGTTCTGCRACAAGGGTCTTGAAGTCAGGTTTCGCAAAGGTTTCTGTATCATAGAAACAAAGCCCGGTCACATAATCATAAAGTCAAAGAGAGAAGGAAATCTCTATCATCTAGATTTTGAGTCCTCCATGGGACAAGACACCCTTTGTCTTGTGTCTCATAAGAGCGATGAAAATTGGCTATGGCATCAGAAATTCTTACATCTCAACTTTGATGCACTACGAAAACTAGCCACACAGAAGTTGGTCAAGGGAATTCCGGATCTCAAATTCGAAAAAGATCATCTTTGCTCAGCCTGTGAGATGGGAAAGCTAAAACGGGCCTCAAATAAAACCAAGTCAGAAACCTCCTGCACCAAGCCCTTGGACATGGTACATATAGACCTCTGTRGGCCTATATCAACTCAAAGTCTCTCTGGAAAGAAGTATGTGTTAGTACTGGTCGATGAATACTCCAGATACACCTAGGTTGAATTTGTAAAGAAGAAATCAGATGTTCCAGACCTACTCCAGAATTTGTAAAGAAGAAATCAGATGTTCCAGACCTACTCATTGGAGTTATGAAAAGGCTCCAATTCCTTCTACAACAAAAACAAATAAAGGTTAGAAGCGACAATGGAACTGAATTCAAAAATGTCAGAATCAATGAATACCTCTTCAGTGAAGGCATTACACAAAACTTCTCATCAGCAAGAACTCCACAACAAAATGGAGTGGTAGAGCGAAGGAACAGAACCCTAGTGGAAGCAGCAAGGACCATGCTTGCTTCATCAGAGTTACCCATCACATTCTGGGCTGAAGCTATTTCCACTGCATGCTTCACCCAGAATCGATCAATCATCAACAAAAGACACCAGAAGACACCTTATGAGCTCATCAACCAAAGAAGACCAAATGTCAAATATT